TGCCCCTATCCCTCCTCCGTCCCGCACCTGCCCCTATCCCTCCTCCGTCCCGCACCTGCCCCTATCCCTCCTCCGTCCCGCACCTGCCCCTATCCCTCCTCCGTCCCGCACCTGCCCCTATCCCTCCTCCGTCCCGCACCTGCCCCTATCCCTCCTCCTTCCCGCACCTGCCCCTATCCCTCCTCCGTCCCGCACCTGCCCCTATCCCTCCTCCTTCCCGCACCTGCCCCTATCCCTCCTCCTTCCCGCACCTGCCCCTATCCCTCCTCCTTCCCACCTCTCCACCTTCCTGCCCCTCCTCCATCTTGCCCCTCCTCCTTCCTGCTCCTCTCCCTTTCGATACGATTAGGACATCTTCATGTCCGTCCTGCTTCCTTTCATATACAATTGCCTTTCCACTTCCATTCCCTCCTCTCCTCCTCCCCTTGACCAGCACAGCAGACCCTCGTCCTTCTTCTCCCTCCCCTTCTCTTCACACCTTCTTCTGCTTCTCTGCATCAGCTTGCATCTCTGCTGTGATTCTGTTGAGCTGCTCGGCCTGATGTCGAATCTTGGCCTGGGGGAGAGGATGAGGGAGGTTCAAGCTTTTGCTCTTTTTCTCCTACCTCCTTGTTCGCTAGCACCAGCATCCTTTCCTCGAATATCTTCTTCTGCCTCTCCTCCGCTCGTTGGATCTTCTCCTGGCTCGCCTGCTCGACCTGCTCGACGTTAGCTGGGAGGGATCACCACCAACTGTCCGTACCCTTCTCTGCCGCTCGTTCTCGAGCTCCGTCCTTCTCATCCTCGCCGCCTCGTCTCTGCTGATCGATCGCCTCCCACTCGACTCTCCTGCACCTCCGTAGCTGGTCCTCAATTCTCCCTCCCCTTCCGCAAACAGCGGCATAGAAGACAAGGACGAGGAGGAGGACGAGGACACGGGGGCAGGGGCAGCGCATTCTGAGGAGTTCAGCTGCGAAGCCTCCGCATTCTCCATCACATTCGCCATGTGCGAAGGTGTAGACGATCCGAATTTTTGAGCATAACGCGCCTCCAATCTCTGTAGCTTCTCTTCTTCGAGCTGCAGCCTCCTCCTCTTCGCCGCCTCCTCTTTCGCTGCCTGTCGCCCCGCACGTCAGGATGGACTTCTCCATCCTCCCTCACCTTCTCCGTTGACTTTGAAACTGCCTCGAGCGATTGCAACCTCCTGCTCAGATGTCAGAGACGAAGGAGCCGAAGGTGGTTGGAGAGAGCCATGGAATGGCGATAAAAACATCAGTCAACCCAGCTGAAGATACTCTTCTTCTCCTCCTCCTCCACCACCACCTCCACCACCACCACCACCTCCTCCTCATCATCATCATAAACAATATCCTGGCAGCACGGGCAAGAGCAGCAGGAACAAGGAACAAAACCACGGCAGGAATAAATGAGAAAGAGAATGTCAAAGAGCGATAACAACAATATCTTTTATCCTCCCTCTTCACTTCACCTTGATTCTGCCAGCTCTAGTCGGCTCTGCAATTCTGCAGTCCTCGACTCTGCATTCAGCAACTCGATGAAAGCTATCTCCTCCTGCTCCTGTCGATTACCACCACACGCCCCCCCTAGCTCCTTCCTTTCACCTTCACTCCATGCACCTTGCTGTGCTCTTGCCTCGCCTTCCTCTGTCGTTCGAGGATCTGAGCTTGGTGGAGCTTCTCAGCTCGCTGAAGCCGCTCATGAATGATGTACTGCGTGTTCTGCCGCTTCTCTTTCACCTGCCAATCATTCAATTTCCTGCTCCTCTCTTTCTCCGACAGAGTCACCCCCGACCTCCTCCTCCTACTCTCCCCTAGCTGGATCATTCCTCTGCCCCCCCCCCCCGCCACACGTCCCCGTCCTCGCCCTCCTCTTCCTCCCCCACAGCACAACTCGCCTGCCGTAGACGCTCTTGTCGGTGCATCTCAGCGTCTCGTAACTTCTCCTGCTTCTGCGCTTCGAGAGCGGCGCGTTTCTTGAGCGCCAGCAGCTGCTTCTCTTCCTGCCGCTTCTGCATCTCATCCGGACATTTCCGGTGACGGTCGGGGGAGAGGAACTTGTCGTGGAGCGATCTCTGGCTGCTCCCGTATCCCTCCAAAGAGTCGCTCGATGCTGGGAACTGAAACTTGTGCTCCAGCCCAGACGAGTCGTCAAGGCTGCTCCTGGTCGACGAGCAGGCGCTCTGCTCCTCCTGCCGCTCGACCCTCACAGACTGAGACACATCCGACAGGCTCCCATCGCACCCGTCCTGCTCCTCTCCTGCTGACCTCACTGCCTGCTCCCTCTGCCTCCTCTGCTTCATGGCGACTTGAAACGAGCTCTCAGGCTCCCCCGCCGCTCCCTTCCCCCATACCGCCCCCCGAGAGAACTCCACGTCCCATGCTATCCCGCCGGACTGAACCCCTCGGACAATGCGATCTTGCAGCATCTGGAACTTGAGGAGGTAGTCCTGTAGGAGGGAGAGAACTTCCGAACACGCCTTGGAGCTCTGTTCGAACAGCGTAAAAGTATGCACGTCCTGCAGGGCTCGGCACAAAGTCGCCAGCAGCTCCCCACTTGACTTGTCACAGAACTGCCATGGAACCGGAGAGCGTCAGAGGGAGGGTGGGAACAGCACAGGGTCAAGTTTCACCTCTGCTCGTTTGATTGTGAGGTCATCCACTCGAGGGAGGAGGAGCTGTGGGGGGCTAATATCTAGTCCAAGGAACGGTCTCTTCAGCATGCCCACGTTCGCTCTCGCCGGGGTCTCTTCGCTCTCGTCGAGCAGGAGCTTTCTCCTCGCGCTCTGACTCTTTGGTCGTTGTCTCTCTCCTGCCTCTGTTGGAGTTGCCACTGAGCTTGAAGGAGAAGACAGCGTGTCTGCAGCACCAGTTATCGCAAACAGCCATTGAAGTGGAGCATTGACCTTCCGCGTGCTGATGTTCCGTGCTGGTCTCACCATCCGTCGTTCCTGCACTCCTCGCGTCTCTCTTGGGTGATTGCTACAACAACCATCACGATCTGACAACCTTTGCTCCCTGCTCGCTTCCGCTCTCCTTCTATCTTCCTCCCTCCCCTCCCTCCTCCCTCCTCCCTCCCCCCGAGCTCAACTCCTTCTCTTCCTCCTTCTCCTCCTCCTCACCTTGGGTGTTCCGGGGCCGATGCTGATGTAGGAGGCCACATGTCGCTCCTCCGGATGCCGCCTCGTCCCTCGCCCTGGACTCGCCATTGTGACGCGACCCGCTGGAACTGAAGGGGGTGGGGTGACATCAAAGGACGGGTGGGGGTGATATTTTTGTATATCAGTACCCCTATATTGTAAATTGAAAGTACCGGGTACTGTGGAGATGCAAATAAGGTATGTGGGTGGGTGATACAATTTTTTGTGGTTGAGGTCAGACAGGATCGGAACTGAGAACATGGTGAGAAGGCGGATAAGCAGAAGAGCAGAGCGGGAGGCGGGAGGAGGAGACGTGAGGCAGGCAGGCAGGCAGGCAGGCAGGCAGAGACAGCGGGAGAAGGAGATAAGGGAGAGATAGGGCTCAAGGAGAAGAGAAGCCGAGAAAGATTGGGGTTAGTGAAACAGGATCCAATGGGAAGGGTTTTGAATCATTTTTCTGATCAACGCCTTTCTCGTTAGAGGGCTTGCAGATAGGTATCATTGAGGATCTGCCGAGGAGATGAGAAGTTTAAAGAACTGGTTCTTCCTCCCTCTACTTCTTGCAGTCTTGCACCCCTGTCAATGTGCAATCAAAGAGGGACATCAAGGAAAACATCACTACACCCAACCATCTGTGGATGTCAAAGAAGATATTGAGTAATTCCTTGTGCAAACATCTTGTTGAACCCCACTTACTATCCTGTGAAAGACTGTGGAAACAGGCTTTTGGGACGGGGGTTCTTGTTCCTGTCAAGGTGAGAGCATGTAGTATCCTCGGGACGGACCATCTGATAAGCCTACAAGGACTCGAAGAGGATCTTCAAGAAGCATTTTGACATGTAAGCATGGTTATCAGCGCTCTCCTAGTTTCTTCTCAAGAGTTTTGCCACTCAGGATACACGATGAAGGGAAACTTCGCCAGGTGCCTTCCAAGATATATGATGCCCTATAAGTCACTGCAGCACAGACTGGCGAACTGCATGACATCGATGACGGCTCTGAGTTCGCGCAGATGGTTCAGGACACAAGGTCTTATCATACTCTCAGCCGCAAGGTCTCGTTACAAACTGGCAGGAGCTGGGATCTTGAGAAGATGATGACATTCGATGAATTCTGGCAGGCTCTTCAAGAGTGAGCACAAGCCCCTGTGTAGGAGGCAAAACATGACGTGTGCCCGGCAGCTACATTCAAATCAAGATCCAAGAACGCGCCTACTTGACAGATTTTTCAGTGATGTAAAGTGTCTAAATCTAGAGATCTCGATCCCATGTAAGCAGACCAGCGATCAACGCCGAGGCCAAGGTGGAGGAGACTGGATCGTGAGTAGAGACAGCACTCTTCTGGAGGTTACTGAGGCGTCGGAGAGCAGAAGTGAGGGCCGTTGCTTGCACAGCCGTCACAAGATCCTTCATACGGAACGCAACTTGCGTCTTGAAGTCCGTCTGGCACATGACCTGCACATTGTGAGGATGCTGGAACCCAGCCGACAAGCAGCTCTACCTCCACAACGATCTCTCGTGCCTTGATGGATGGGTTGACGTTGGAATCTTGTAGATCGTCTACTTCAAGAGCTGGGACCCACCAACTTTCAGGAAGGAGTATAAGTCAGCCTGTACATGTCACCTGCAAGTTCTCTCATGCCTGCCACAAGTACAGCCGACAACGTCGGTGCTTCATCTCCCTGCGATCACTTCTCTCAGACTGAATTTCGCTTCGTGCGCACGTTCACATTGTATGGGGGCCTCATGCGGGTTCGAAGTTCCGTCATGACAAGCTTCGCCTGTCAAGTTAGGAGGGTCATTCGGGTGCCTTTTAATAGTCAAGTAATCCATTCCACCTGCTTCGGGGCGACTCTTGACGTCAAAGTAGCAGTCACAGGCTTTCCCGGCTCATGCAGAGTCACGACGATCTCCCATTCTTATCGAGATGTCATCTGAATGACGCAAAGGAGATGAAGCCTACTGTGTGCCGACGCGGAGAGCATCAAAGCATTGACCTTGTCCGTTGAGATGACAGGAACATCGTCCCAAACCTTCATGGCCTTGTTTCCACTAGGTGACACCTGCAACAGAGTAAAACTGGCGAACCTCGCAATGTTGAGAGTGATGTGGTATTCAACGACACGTCGCGGGCAGACACAAGGCTATCGCGGGACTCACGGGAGGATTCACCCCTGACTTCTGTGGACTTTCTGGAGAGGTTTTCGCAACAGGGTTCGGATCCGGCGTAGGCTTGGCTTCAGGCTCGACCGGTCTAGGAGTAGAGTTTTCATCCTATGGACATCAAAGGTTAAGAACGATCATCCCATCCGGTCGAGACAAAGAACCAACATTCGTGTCAACAGTGGAGCTATTTGAATCCCGAGAGATCTCGTTTTCTTCCTCGCCATCAACCTCTGATCGCACTAGGGTCAGAGCAACATCGCGTCAACAATCCCAAATGGAGATAACCGTTCTCAAGCTCCTTGCTCTTTGACGCCTGCAGTGTGTTCAGCCGTGATAAATAAACAGCATCCTGACCTCCTCGACCGACGTATCTTGTTCCTCTACAGAGGCATTGACCTGATAAAATCAGCCGTCAAGGCACAATCAAGATCAAAGGCAGGGCTCTACTTCTGCGTTTGTTTCGGAACTAGATTCCTTTACAGGCCTGAAGTCGATGGTCAAGGGGTATTCTCATCTCAATCAAGATCGACTCACTTCTTCTTTCCGGACTTCTTTTTCTGAGGCATTCCTGATGAAACACACCGTCAGGACATCAACAAAAGGGTGATCATCGGAGAGAATTGATCCATCACCCTAGTGATCTTCCATCATATTTCTCAACCTGTGCCTTGTTGTCTTCTCTCTACAAACAACGAGGAACTACAACAGAATCTACATCTTTCCCTTCTCTAAATTCCTGTTAGGGAAATATTCAATTCTCTTGCAGTGTTCTCCTCATATGCTATCGTGTTATCATCTCCATTTTCCCCCAATCTCAATCTTGTACTGACGCTCTCCTGTTCTTATCATGAATCACCTTCACTTCTCCTCACTTCGCATTCATCTCTGTTCTCTCTTCTCTCTCTTCTCTCTCTTCTCCGTCTCTTGTTCTCTTGCATCTTTTCATCCTCCCCCCCCCCCCGCCTGTTTCTCCATCACAGAGGAAACTTCAAGAGCTAAAAGGGTTCATCCACATCCCCACTGTGACCCACAATTCCGAATATTGTGAACTTCAAATTTGAAATTAGCTTTGTGTATTTCAATACTTTATCCGGTTAACGAAATTCTGAGTAACTCGTCCTACACTTTGACACCGCCATGCCAGTCGGCCCGGACTCCCGGGTGGCCCGGCCCGGCCCCGCCGTCACACTGGCTCACCGGGGCCCGGCGAGTCACCTGGTGCCACACCATTGAGATATTGGAGCCTCCCAGCTGGCGAAGTCCGTTGCTGGCCGTTACTCCGAAATACGGTTGCAGGGATAAGCTGGGGTGCAGGCGGCCGGGCCAGTACTACGGTAAATATACGTGGCATGCAGCGCTACTCGCTGCTGATCCTCAGCTGCTTGTTGAGCTTGTTGTTGGTACCATGCCAACATGTTCATGCTCAGACGGCCCCCTCCTCGACTCCTGCTCCTCCCCCCACCACTTCTCGGGCTACTCCCGCAACAACCACACCTGCGTCTCCTGGCATGACGACTACAACCCCTGCAGCAGCTAAGACCACAGCACCTTTCAAAGCTTTCACGACGACCCCTGCTGCATTTCAGGCTGCTCCTGGATCTTCCACCACTCCTCCTTCAACTACGACTCCTTCTCCTCCTTCTCCTTCTCCTGCTCCTTCTCCTTCTCCTCCTCCTTCTCCTTCTCCTCCTTCTCCTGCTCCTCCTTCTCCTTCTCCTTCTCCTTCTCCTCCTTCTCCTTCTCCTCCTTCTCCTTCTCCTCCTTCTCCTGCCCCTGCCCCTGCCCCTGCACCTACTCCTCCTACATCTTCAGCATCGTCGTCGCCGTCGACGTCATCTTCTTCTCTTCCTGCTCTCTGCGCTCCATCGCGGATTTCGGTTGCATTTATGGAAAGCTTCAACTCCTCTGGGATGGCCGGGGGCTCAAACGTCTCGTACAAGGCAACCTTGGCTCCATTCTGGTACTTTGCTCCCTCCTGTCAGCACAAGACGTACGCGGTGGAAGGCTTCACGGAGATGCTTGCTCAGAGTGCAGTGAGGTACAGGTATTGCAGCAACCCTTACCACACTTGGGAGGCGCTCTTGTACAACGCAAGCATGGGCCGAGTCGCCTTCAAGACCGGAGGGTTGGGCATGCTCGCCATCCACGGGCTGTACGAAGTCTGGGTGTGCATACAAAACCACCCGTGTGCTCTAGACCCCGCAGACCCCTCCTTCTGCTGGGTGTACAATGAGATGGAGACGACCTGGATACCTTGGGGTGAGAACTCCAACCTCCAGCTGTTCGTCCCCAGCAAACCCTGCGGGTCCAGCAGCCCGAGAGGCAGCTTCAACGAGCCGTCTCCTTCAGCCTCTGACCAGCAGCTCCAGGTCAGCTTGTCCAGCTGCAGGATGGAAATCGCGATGCGGGTGGAGGACGCTTTTGACCTCTACGTGGACGGGGTCTACGTGACCTCGGGCAGCGATTCGCAGGTAGTGCATGAGCTCTCCGTCCCCGTCGCTTCTTCTGCTGGAGCTCTAGTGGCGGTCAAGGCGATCAATGTCGCAGGTTCGGGGGGCCTGGTCGGGATCTTCGGGGGTGAGCCCACCAGCTCCTCGGGCTGGAAGTGTCAGAAGTTCCCCAGCGACGCTCCGCCTGCTGAATGGAATCAGAGGTCGTTCGATGACTCGGCATGGCCCCAGGCCGCAAGCGATGCCGGGACTTCAATGGATTATGCACGGGTGTGGGCGAAAGGCTACATGGACAGGGCGTCGACGGTCTTCTGTCGTAGTCTTGTGAAGAATCCCTCGCTCGTGTGCTACGTCCTATAGAACGGCTGGGCCTCACGAGAGACGAGGCGAAGATAAGACAAGACCCGTGAGGGCAAGGGCAAGGCAGGCAGGCATGGCCACAGAGATCATCGAGCTCTGAGCTTGAGTTTGTATCATCAATTCATCAGATCCTGTTTGCGTTGGGCAGTAAAAGTCTGACAATCGAGTGCAATGACTGGCAGCGCACATCATCATGTTTGCTGCTTACAGGCACTGGGTGAAGAGTGGTTGCGGAGAGACTGTCACTTGTTAACGTTATGGATAGACTCAGAGCAGACAGAGAAAAAATCAAGAGAGTCCACCGTTTCTCAGCAAAGACCCAGCTGCAAGAGTCATAGCTTCGAAAACTTGTCATAAACTTTGTCCACGACTCCCAGGCTTAAAGCAGGTCTGTCAGATCAGTAGAAGAGGCGAGGGTTGGCCCTCACCTTACAGCCTCCGTCGCCGTGAGGTAATGGTCTCTTTCACAGATCTCCGATATCTTCTTCTACCATTTAGCATCAGTAACCCCGCCTGCTGCCCAGAGGCCTTGACCTCAGACTGCTTGGTCAGTTTTGCCAGCAGGCTGTTCATGATTTCCTGAGAAACTGCATCAGAGAGGTAGGAAGCAACTTCTCATTGCGGAGGCACTTTAGTTCGGAGAGTCTCGTGAGCTCGTATCATGATGTCGGTCGCTACCATCTGAATGATCTCCAAGTCACTCCGGCTCCTTGCCTTCTCCTCTTGCTCACTTTGGGGTATTCGACGGAGGGCTGGTGCAGCATGACCTATGAGGCGTCAACCAACGGCAAGGACACCGACGGACATCAAGTATAGATCTTCACCTTGGCATACGGAAGACAGATGCGGTTGCCATGAGAGCCGGCGGCTAGAATAATGGCTGCGCATGCAGAACGTTCATAGGAGTGAACTAGCAAGGATAGCCTACCCGCTATGGAAAATGCTCGACCGCAGCAGATGGTGTGGACGGGAGAGGACAGCTTGTCAGCATGTCAAACTCAGGTCATGCCGCAGCACAATGGCCTACCGCGTTCATCGTGTCTACGATAGCGAGACCCGCGTTCACCTGTTCGGGAGAAAAGAACGAATGAGGGAGTTGTTGAACCGAGCAGAAATATGGTAGGTTACCTTTCCTCCTGGGCTGTTGATGAAGAGAAAGATCGGAGTGCCTGAGCTCTCCATGTCGAGGAACATCAGCTTCATGCAAATCTCCTGAAGCAGGGATGTCAACCCTTCACTCCCGCTTGCCACCAATTCACCTTGGCTGAGCGATCGTCGATAGGGCCCACCAAGAAGATTTTCCTTCCTCGGAGCAGCTCTTGCTCGATGTTGATGATTTTCGACGGATCTCTCTTTGGCCTGTCGTCTTCCACCACCGGCCTCTCCTCCATGTCGATCAGGAACTGTCAGTATCTTCAATCAGTCGGTGTTGACCTCCTCCGCCTCTTCTCACCACTTCCTCTCCGTCCTCACATTTGGCCGTTCGTTGGACAAGGTACAGCCCTCCTGCTAAGATTCCTATCCCAATCCCCCCCCACCTGCTCATGCTCTTCACTCTGCTCTGAGGCTCAGCAGTCCAACTCCATACATGCTTCTTCCATCCATGCCCCCAGGGAGGAAGGGAAGAGAATGAGCGAGCAGGAAGCGCTCTCCTAGCTGCGTTGGCATCCAGCCTTCTTGCATTCCAAGATGCAACCTTCATCCTGCCTCCTCCTCCTCCTCCTCCTCCTCCTCCTCTCCTTGCCCCCAACAGTCGCATCAACCGGTGCATTGAGGTCAAGTGACTTGAAGGAAAAAATCTGGAGATGTTTTGTAAATAATTTTCATATACTATATCTTTTGCGAGGGTTCATCGCCACTCGATGCAATATACTACAAAGAAAAACAGT